GGCTTGGTTAAATTGGCTGCCGGAGGACATTGTGCGGGCTGGTATGTGGACGTCCCCCAATATTTTTATCTCGCATAATTCGCATTATCTGGCAGTATCTTCATCTTAGGGTTTTTGACTACCCCCTGTAGCTATCTTAACCACTGCTGCTAGATTATACAGAGGGGTTAGTATTTTCATTGCTACACTTGTCACTTTTTTACCTTTCAGGGTCCCTTACCTCATTTTCACAGGATCCCATCTTGTGGCGAGTGTTGCCCAGTCATGTTTGCTATTAACAAACCAATTCCACATTAGTAACCACTAATTCAGTATACTTCATACAGATTGCATCAGGCTCTGTAGAAGTGAGGTGTACCATAAGACCATCTAGAGGCTGACTGGGTGGTATTACTGTATTATACTGGACTGCCACTCATGGACTATCGTGACTAAGATATAAGGGGATCCTGCCCATCCATGTTGATCATTGGACTGAATAAATCTGGGTCAGTTTGCTTTTAAAGATTTAGGGAACTTGATTCACCTATTGCACTGTTTCCAGAGCACTGTTCCTCAGGACTCTCCAATGTGCATTACCCCCAGGTTCTACTAATGGAGCTAGAGAGTCCTTACCAGTCACTGGGGTGGATTTCCTCCACTCTTGGAGAAGAGGGCGAAGTTGGGGGGGGTTCTCCTACCTGGGTCTCTGGATGTTTTTTCCCATATACCGGTAGGAGAGACACCAGCTTATGCAGGAGGCTACTCATAATACTGGTTCAGATTTGACACTCGGCTATCCGGTTGGGTTGAGCGTGGCCCTTCTTTTTGATCAATATTGTTTCAGTACATAGTTCATGAAAGAGGGTCCATTGTCTCCTCGTAATTCTAAACACTGAGTGGTCCCATCCTGGGTCCATGGTTGAGCACAATTTGTTTCACATCTTCCCCATAATTCTGGAGACAAGAAGAATTTACCTTTCCACTTGGTTGGGGAGTGAAGATTGGTGTATATATTGGAATATATCATGCAAGATCCTGTCACTCCCAGCCTGGGGTGTTGCCTTATGGACTTTTTCAGGTTGAGGAGAAGTTTTTTCCACATTGGTGCTGCCTACATTCTCATACCTACTCTGTGGGCTCAGAACGCATCACTCTATGGCTACAGGTCAGATCCGCTCATATATATACTTATAGGGATATAGGGACCATGGCCCTATAATTTCAATCCAAGCAGTGAAACCTCAGTTATCTGGTTGAGGCCTGGCCAACAGTTGTGATAAATCATGTAAAATACCACCCACAGTACATGTATTAAGTTCTGGGTAAAGAGCATGCCTGTTCTGGATGTAGTGCAGTCCCCTACTGGGGTACCAATCTTCTATTGACACACCCATGATCTATGCAGATGCTTTCTGTATGGATAATGTCCTCACCGACCACTCCATCTTATCAATGTGGGATTCTAGCTATAGTGTGAGAAGATGTAATTATGTTTTAGAAATAAACATTTTCTTAAGTAGAAAATGTATTTCCAATAATACTTACCTACTAAGAGCCAGTGTTAGAGACTGCGGAATGGGTGAGTCTTGAAAAAGTGATAATATTGTCTGAATGAGGTGCTAATATACAGTACCAGGATAGAGGGTGCACTAACATAAGTGCGTCATGTGACAGATATTGCCAAGGGCAATTAAGTGCGGAATAAAAGTCTGGAGCAAGTGAAAAACATTTTGACCAATGCTTAGAGGGGCAAACCCTGACAGTCAAGTAATAGCTGTAGTGTGATCAGAAGTAGGTATTATTGGAGATACATTCCCATGGGAAACACATCAGTGACATCAGATGAAGTTTTAACAGCTCTTGTTGCATTGTTGGGAAGCAAGAAAAATTGTGTTAGTTATAGGACATTGTCTAGTTTTTGCATGTTATTTATACTGTGTCTTTTGGTGCATTATTTAATTAAATAGTAAAAATAACAGATAAAATATAAAGGTTTAATGAAGAAAAAAAATTTACATTTATTTTGGAGGTTTTAGAGATCATACAAATAAAGTTTTTGAGGTTTTTGAGATGAAGAAAAGTATTTTTAATCTTATGTGGAAAACCACTTAGCTCTTGGATTAGTATATAGAAATACTATATATATTCATAAACAAACCTTTACTAAAAGCACTTCCATAAAACATTGATATTTTCGTGTACAAAAGATTTGTAATGGTTACTAAAAGTCTGCCAAATCGTATGAAGATACACAAAGTGTATTAAAAGTTATAGTATGGAAACTGTAAGAGTAGGAAGTGGTTATGAGGTCAGTTATTACAAATTCAATTAATCAGTATATTAACTTTAACACTTTTGAGACGGGTCACCGGTGAAAGGCTATGTCATCTCATTTGTTGACTCGCATTCAAACTTTTATTGAACTAAGATTTCGTGAATTTATGTTAATAACTTTGGTATCAAACTGTAAATTATAATTCAAATTTTAGTACTATATATTACGCAATTTCTTAATATGAAAGCAAATATTAAAAACAGATAAACATTGATTTTTGTGGTATGTTTAATGCAGCACTGGTTCAAATTAGATGTTTGTGAAGTCAAAATACAAAGTCTATAGTTTCGTACGAATTAGATACTCAAATTACAGATATTGACAAGCTAGAATATAAAATAAGAGCCTCTTATCTTTTCAAATTGCTAAGAAATTGTTCATGTAAGAAATCAAACACAGTGGCACCCTGCTCACCTCTACCCATTTATGGAAATGCTCCCTTATATACAGTTACTTCCATATATGACATGAATAACCAGTCGAAAGCTCAGAATGTCCCCCAAATGGCTTTCTCAGCCATTTTGATGGGCTTGGTGCCATTGCTTTCTTTTGAACCAATATCTCAACGAGGTAGGGTGTGTCTTTAGTCTGCTCGAAATGTCATATTTTTTTAGACTAAAATACATCTTAGTTACTAAGC